GACCTGGTCTCCTGCGTATTCCACGATGTCGAAGAAGCACGCTCCCAGGGATGGGCCTCGACATTCGTCACTTTAGACGTCCAAGGAGCGTTCGATGCAGTGCTCCACAATCGCTTGGTTAGGCGCATGCAAGCTCAGGGATGGCCAGACTCAATCCTCCGGTGGAAGACTTCATTCCTCGCACATCGGAAATTACAAGTGCGTTTCTCCGGTGGAGTCCCCTAGGGATCACCAATTTCGCCATTACTATCTCTTCTGTATTTGGCGGAGCCAATGAAAAGTGGAACCCCGGAGTTGAGGTTTAGCTACGCGGACGACATTGGAATTCTAGGGTTTTGACGCACAATAGCTGAATCTGCCGCTGCTGAACAAGGTGAGACAGATCATCTTCACGAATGGGCGCGGAATAATGCTGTCGACTTTGACACGGAAAAATCTGAAGTCACTCAATTTCCGGGACGACGCCGAGAGGAAGCAGTTGGTGTTCATGTTAATGGAACCCTTATTGAGCCTGCGGAAAATATTCGCTGGTTAGGCGTGAATCTGGATCCACGACTCAATTTCAAACACCTTGTAACTACGTGGTGCGGTAAAGCGGTAAAAGTTGCCCAGCACATGCGCCGTTTCAACTCTGCCTTTCGGGGAGCAGCTCCCTGGCCATAAGCTAAGTGTTTAATGACTTAACGATCAAATGATCAATATGTATTTCCTTAGAACTAATGACTAATTGTGTTGATGAGTAATGAGGTACCCGTTTGGGAATGGCGTTAGGAGACGGAGGTTTTACGGTTTATAGATGTTTTTCTTCTAGGAAGACAGGGGGGAGATAGATCAATTCATACGTACCATAATTGTTACTGCTACATCAAGCTTGTGATATCAATTACCACCGAAGTATTCCGACACTAAGGCAGTAGACATGTGCGTTGTCTCGCTCGCAACTTTTGGATCTGATGTCTGGTGGCCAGGGTCCAAACGCCCAACCATACGGGGAATGGTCACGTCATCTACGTCTAACCTCTGCAGCATGGTTGACCGAGCTAACCTGATGGGATTGCGGGCTGCACTTCCAGTAATGAGGACAACACCAAATGTAGTCCTTCACAGAGAAGGAGGAATCCCGCCGGCAAAAGTCATACTTGAAGGAAACCGTCTCCAGCTTTCGGCAAGGCTTAAGACCCTTGACGATCGACACCCTTTGAGGATCCGCGTTTCCGTGTGCCCGAATGTCGGCACCCGAAAATACAAAAAGACTGCCAAGTCCTCAGCCAGACCAGAAATTTAGATGTCACGATTACAGCGTGCCTACCGAGAGCTTCCGGAAGCAGAAGCCCCTGAAAGTCTTATGCCGATGGTTTACCCTAGTAAATTGGGCTCAAAGCCAATGGAACGCGAATATTGCGTTAGACGGAATAGCGACGTGCCAGAAACGGACATTTGCGCATACTCGGATGGTTCATCGGAAGGACACGGACGCTCCGCCTGGGGTTTCGTTCTGATGAAGGATGGGAAACTCATCGGCAAAGGAAGTGGCATCAAGCACGAGGGAGAGGTGCTGGATTCAGAGATAATTGGAGCAAGGAAGGCTCTGGAGGCCGCACTGGAATTCACGGAGGACGAGCAGTTCAGGAAAGGTGGAGGTATGTGGCAAATACGCGTGTTTCTAGACAGCCAACAGGCTGTAAGCGCATTAACGACAGGCTCGTCCTCAACTAGCCTAGAAGATGTACGCAAATTCCGTGCGTTATCTAATAAGGCTGAAATATCAGTGAAATGGGTTCCAGGGCATGCAGGAATCCAAAGAAATGAAGAGGCAGACGCCATGGCCCGTGCAGCACTTCGAGAATTGCCTAGCCCGGATACGCAACCAGGATCCAGTACTCTGGCAAATCTTCGAGGCCTTATGAATCGCAGACGGCAGAGATTGCTAAACGACTGGTGGGAAGAGGCCTGTCCGCCCAAATACCGCCAACTCAATCTACAGGTGCGGAGACGCAAACCACCCGAACTGTCCCTCTCTAGGCACCTCCTCCGGGCACTAATCGCAGCACGAACGGGTCATGGCAATTTTGTGGCATACTATTGCCGTTTTAATAATCCATACGCTCCTATGGAGTGCTCTTGCGGGAAGGAAACTACTCCAACCCACTTCATCCACTGTAGTCGCCACGCACAATACACGCGTAAGCTCAGAAATTCAATGTCCCACGTTGACTTTGTCAAAAAGCTTCTCGGGCCCAAGTGCCACGAAAGCTTCAAAATATCTGCGCAGGAAACCGGCTGTTTTGATAGACGACCTGCTCACTCATCCACTGCTCTCAGCGGGGATCAGACAATCTAGTCATTGCCACAATGCATGACACGAAAAGGAACGATGCGAGAAGTGTCGTTTCTCTGAGGAAATTTTTATGTACTAGGATTTAGAGTAGAAGGATGGAGTCTCGATTTCGGAGTCGGTGTAGGTGGTGTCTTCTGAGTTATAATTTACCTTCTACTTTTTCTGTAGCGGGGCTCGCGGTTGGAATGATTTGGGCCTGTTAGTAGTGATCCCCGCCGGCTCCACCAGTCTTGTACCTATAGTGGACCTAGAGCTTTAGCTTAGGACTTTAATATAATAAATAAAAAACATATTCATCACGGATAATATATCAATGATCTTTCATGTAACATGAGAGGCATGGAGCACTGTACAAGGTGTGGCTTGTGTCAGAAAGGAGTCAAATGTGCTAGATTTTCTAAGACTCAAGCGATACAATAAAAAAAATCACAAACCAAAATGCTGGTGTCAATGTATTAGGCGCTTCAATGATCTTCAGCATCATTTTCTCCGCTTAGATTTGTGTATGAGATATCGAGAGCATTCCGTGCAGGAGGTAAAGTTTCAAACTAGAATAGGCCTCTGTCGGATCGAATAGAATAGAATAGAATTTTAATGAAGTGCCTAATGAGTCTATAACTATTAAGGACCACGTTTCCGGATAAATAAACCTCAAATAAAGACTTCGACACAGGCCCAAGGATCCGGTAAAAAAGAGAAATATGATATTGTGAGCTACCGCATCAATAAGGACTTCAGGCGAGGGCAATTTCAACCATGTACTGGAAAGATCTTGAAGAGGACATATCATAGCCTGTGAACTTTTCATCGATTCTCATCAGTTAGGATTTAGTGATAGATCACGAAAAGAGACTTGGATTAGATGGAGAAGAAAGTTGGGCCTTCAGATACATTGTAGTTGTTAACCGCTGACGTTTGAATCCGTTCTGCTGCGCTATTCTAGTTAGTGGTTCCTTCTTCTCTTAACTCATTTGCTACAGCCTGACTTTGTATGACTCGGAGCCTTGTATCCAACTCTTCTGTTAAAAAATCCACCGGAAGCTATAATTCTGCAGCCCCGTTGAAAATTCGACCTTTCATTGCTATTTCGAAGGTACATAATGAGTATATTTGAATTTACATCATGTAACTTTGATGATGACAGTCAGAATGACGAAAAAACAGTAATAAAAACGTTTCGAATAATAATTGGTACGAATTAATGTAAGGAGACGAATCGAAAGAAAAGATTATATTGCATGTTAAGAGAAATTTACGAGGACGTCGAACGATCTTTAACAGTTGCCTCAGCTTTTAATTTGTACACGAATTCCGGGCTACTGCCAGCGGATTATGACAAGCTTTTGAGAACTTCCCATTCTCCTATACGGTAAGAATTAACATTTGATTTAATACCTTTTCCAATCTACGCTCACATATACTGATGAGTCGTATACACTAAAGCAATTCGTGCTATTAGGATTATACAAAAGCTGATAATCCGACCAACTGAATAGAAACACTGACAGAGAGCGACGCCAGATGGGACCGAAAGTTTTTCTTTGATTAGCTCTGGACGTTCTAGGAGACTTCTTAGCTTTGTGCAGAAGAAAAGAGCGTCTTGATGTCATAAGAAGTCGTTCAGCTAGCACCGGACCATGACTCTCAAATTAACCTGGGTTTTATCACTCCGGATACAGCTTTTTTCGCGATCCTGTAGAATTGTTTTGGAGAAAGCAAGCCTTTTTCACCATATTAGCATAGGATGAGGTAGTTGTCGGGGCAGGCGGAAGGCCTGTTTTTGCGGTAGCGTAGGGTTTAGTAATGATTGCCTCATCAAAGAAGGGAAAGCCAGCTATAACCCAAGCAGCGCTACGCGTCGCAATAGCTTTTAAATCTACTGGGATAGCTGGAGGAATAGTGCATAAGTTTTGCGATTCGGCATTTTGCCACCCCAACAATGATGCAGTGATATTTTTAGCCATGGCCGCCGAGTGATGGTAAATTTCGCGCGACACTAAACTAGCGATAGACTGCAGCATTCATTCAGCTTGGTCTCTAGTAGCCGGGTAGATAGAGCTTGAGAGACTTAGATTGGGATTTGTTTTAGAGGTCCCTGAAGCAAGGGGGTTCAGATTCTTAGTCGGTATCTCGGTCACAGGTGTTGAGACAGGAAAATAGTCAGTTTCTGATTCTAATTTCATGAAATTATCTGGGTTAATTAAAATTGATTTGGCAGGAGACTCTCCTCTCTCGGTAATGACCGCCATAATATTTTCCTCATTAACAGTTGGATGTCAAAACTTAAGTTTCACACGCTTGGCTGCGCGAGTGAGAAATTAAGCTGGAGATGCGCATTTTACAGTCTTTTGAGCCTATCAGGTTATGAAGTGTTTGTTTTATGAAATGAAGTGGTGATTTAGGAACTGTGATTTATAATATATAATCAGCATCACGTCACATCTCGTCCTAGCCTGGCACGCTCCCAGCTCGTCATTTAGAGACGCCGGTGCAACCTATCCCTGACGCTACAGCTCGCAAGCCTATTTTTGGGTCTGGTGGCTGTACCGGTCTAATCACAATAACTGGAAAACTCAGCTTTATCTCATGAGGCTGGGATACCAGTAATGTCTACTGGTAAGGTCCTGTTTTTTGAAAATTACTGAATGATGTGCTAACTTTAACAGTCAGAATATGCGTGTGTGGAGATGAGCAAACGGGAAAGTCAAGTCTGATAACGTCTTTGGTGAAAAACGTTTTCGTTGCGAACAAAATACAATCCGTTCTTCCTCAGATAACCATACCACCTAGTATAGGAACTCCTGAAAATGTAACGACGGCCGTTGTTGATACATCAGCTGTACCACAAGAACGTAATACTCTCAGAAAAGAGATACGAAAATCAAACGTCATACTACTGGTATACGCAGATCACTATAGTTATGAACGCGTGGCTCTCTTTTGGTTACCATATTTTCGCTCTTTAGGAGTTAATATCCCAGTAGTGCTATGCGCTAATAAGTCGGATTTGACTGCAAATGGGAGTAATACGGCTCAAGTAGTAGAAGATGAGATGCTTCCAGTGATGGCAGAATTCAAGGAGATTGACTCTTGCATACGGACGAGTGCAAAGGAACATCATAATGTTAATGAGGCTTTCTTTCTCTGTCAGAAAGCGGTAACTCATCCTATTGCACCTCTATACGACTCAAAGGAAAGGTGTCTCAAACCAGCTGCTGTAGCTGCGCTAAGAAGAATATTCTATCTCTGTGATAGAGATCAGGACGGTTTTTTGAATGATGAAGAAGTAAATAACTTTCAGGTCAAGTGCTTTGATAAATCACTTTCGTCTGACGACCTCGAAAATATTAAAATGACAATACATAGAGTATTTCCAAACTTAGACGTAAGAAAAGGGATCGACTCTAGAGGTTTTATTCATCTCAACAAAATCTACGCGGAAAAGGGGCGGCATGAGACAATTTGGATTATCTTGCGGAAATTTCATTACACTGACAGTCTTAGCTTAAAGGAAATATTTCTTCATCCAAAATTTGAAATTCCTGATTATTCTTCCGCAGAACTCAGCCCAGCTGGCTATCGATTTTTTGTAGATCTTTTCCTTCTTTTTGATAAAGATAATGATGGTGTTCTGAACGACTATGAGCTTGACAACCTCTTTGCTCCAACTCCAGGTCTTCCACAATTCTGGCTAGAAACTTCTTTTCCGTCATCTACAGTTCGAAATGAGGCAGGATACATTACTCTTCAAGGATGGCTGGCCCAATGGTCCATGACTACCTTTGTTTCGCCAAGTACGACACTTTCCTACCTCGCATACCTCGGGTTTGAACCAGCAGCAGGATCCCGAACTGCAACCACATCTGCACTAAAGATAACAAAACCTAGAAAACGTCGGATCAGAGCTGGAAGAGTCGAGCGCAATGTAGTGCTTTGCTATATACTTGGTGCACCATCTTCTGGGAAATCATCACTTCTAGACGCTTTTTTAAATCGCCCTTTTGATAATCTCTACAGGCCAACAATTAAACCCCGCTCCGCAGTTAATAGCGTAGAGTTACAGGGGGGTAAACAGTGCTACCTCATTCTTGAGGAGCTCGGTGAACTCGAGCCAGCAATACTTGAAAACCAGGCAAAGCTAGATTCTTGTGATTTAATATGCTACACTTATGACTCCTCAGATCCAGATTCTTTCTCGCACATAGTATCATTACGAAAAAGATACCCGCATCTAGACGACTTACCATCAATCTTCACAGCTTTAAAAGCTGACCTCGATAAAACTACACAGCGTTCGGAGTATCAGCCCGATGAGTACACAATGGCTCTTAATATGAATGCGCCATTACACGCAAGTGTAAAATGGAATAGTATTAGTGAGCTATTCATTACCTTAGCAGAAGCAGCCACAAACCCTAGTTTGGGGTTTCCAAAAAATGAGGAAAAGCTTGATCGCACTGGAATATACTTTGTACTGGGTGCCACATCAGCAGCATTATTGGCAGCAGCAATGATTTGGAAACGATCAACAAATGCATTATGAAATATTGATAAATTATAGGCGAAATTGATGTATAATTCGAGTTAAGAGGGATTTTAAGACATAGTGGTACCTAATAGTAGCTTTCCTAGATAATCTAGGCTGTAATTATTTAAGGAGAATTAAAAGTACTTTAATGTTTTCTAATACTAGCATATAAATCCCGTTCAATTTTAGGTGCTTATTTGCAAAAGTACACCAGTTCATCGAGCTAGAAACATTTGGGATCTTATTTTATCGCTTAGAATAGAAAAAATGAGCGTAATTCTTGCTACTGCTGCTGTGAAAAGTATAAATCGCCATCCTTCCAACGTTGTCGATTGCGTGAGTTAAAATCTTAACATTAGCTGCAACATATTTTTGGTGATGGGCGTAAGGGCTATAATCACATTCACTCTCTAATAAACGTTGTTAGCTACGTCTCGTTGGATGGCCTGTCGGAGCACTACAAAATGGTAACTATGTCATCGATTTACTCCTGATATCAGTGGTAGAAGTTCATAACCTCTGATTGAGATTTGTCCCGCCTGCTATGCACCTTCAAATAGTCTTAGCTTCACAGGTTGGGTGAGATTTTTAATGGACGCATATTAGGAGACTTCGTACCCGAGGGATACATTTTATTTTTTATTTTATTTTTTATAAATTTTAGGTCCTAAGCTATGCTCTATATCTCCTAGGAGTCAAGAACCGGTGTACACGGCCAAGATCATGCTTCCCACATGCCCGACTCGGTCTCACTGCGTGACCCACTACACAACCAGTAGCTAGTTATAAGAAAGAATATAAATGCTCCCACAGACTCCCATAACCAAAATTCCAAATCCAATACTCCAATTTGAGGTGGGAAAGCGACACTCCTCGTCTCATTTTCCTTCCTATCATGCTTCGTGCTATGACCTAGTTAATGTTGTCTCCGCTGAGAGCTGATGACGGACTTGCAGGTGAGTCGCCGAAGCAGCCGGTTTCCTGCGCAAAATTTGTAAAATCCTCAAGTCACTTAGGCCCGAGAAGCTTTTGGACAAAGTCGTGATGTGACATTGTCCCTAGGAGTAGACGCGTCTGACGTTCGTGCAGTCGACAGTGAATGAAGTGGAGAGGTGATGTTTCCTCTCCACACGCACACTCCATGGAAGCGGTGAGGTTGTTGAAACGACGGTGACATGCAGCGAAGTTTCCGTGTCCCGTTCGGGCTGAGATCAGTTCACGAAGTAACCGCCGAGAAAGTGCCTGCTCCTGTGACTTGCGTCGTCGCATGAGTAGACCCAGATTTCGATACCTAGGTGGACATGCTTCCTCCCACCATTCCTCGAGAAGAACTTGACGTTTCTGGTTCATCAGACGACGAACGTACGCCAAAGTGACGGAGCCAGGCTGGCTCTCTTTACTTGGAAGTTTTCGGAGGCCGGAGCGTGCAACTCTATCAGCCTCTTCGTTTCCCTGTATCCCAGAGTGGGCTGGTATCCACTGAACCGAGACTCGAGCCTTTTCTGATAGCGCCCTAAATTGGCGTACATCGTCGAGACTTGTTGTGGCGGTTCCCGTCAGCAGTGCCTTCACTGCAGACTGACTATCCGTCAACACGTTGATCCACTGCCTGCCGTTACTTCTCCCGTTCTCTCTCTCCAACAATCCTAGCGCAGCTTCCAGGGCCTTCCTCGCCCCTAGTATTTCCGCATCGAGCACTTCACCACCATACTTGATACCACATCCCTTCAACAGAGTCTTTCCATCCCTCTTCAAGACGAACTCCCATGCTGAGCGACCATGCCCCTCCGACGATCCATCCGGGTAGGCACAGATATCCGATGGCAATACACCTCTAAGGAACCGAGTTACCTTGTCCTCCTCTTCTGTCCTTGGGCCGAAGTTCGACAGATAGCATGGCGGCGGCAGAGGCTTAGCGTCTTCCGCGTCCGGGAGTTGTCGGAAGGCCCGCTGCACTCTTGACATCTGGATCTCCGGATTCTTGGGTGCCCGAGCATTTTTCTTGTACTTCCTTGTTCCATTGTTTGGACACACGGCGGCACGGGTCCGGAGCGGGTGGCGGTTGTCCAGTGAGTGGAGCCGAGCCGAAAGCCGTAGTCGGTTCCCTTCCAGAATGATCTTCCCTGTTGGGATACCTCCTTCTCGGTGGAGAACACGATTCGATGTAGTTCTCATTACCGGGAGGGCAGCGCGCAGTCCTGTCAAGATTGCCTTGTCAATCATCTCGCAGAAAATGCTGGTTCGAGGTGTGATGATCCTACTTTTGGTCGGACGTTTGAGGCCGGGCCACCAAACATCTGCTCCAAAGGTTGCTATGGGGACAATGCACGTGTCCACTGCTCGAACCAGTGCTGCAGGGGCAGCTCCACGATACACAGAGTTGAAGCGGCGCATTTGCTGGGCCACCTTCAGAGCTTTGCCACACCACGTCGTGACGTGATGTTTGAAGTCCAGCCGCGGGTCTAGGTGTATTCCAAGCCAGCGTATTTGGTCTGCTGGCTCGATAACCACGCCGTTCACACGAATGCCCACTGGCTCCTCGCGTTTCCGTCCGGGAAACTGGACTACCTCCGACTTATTGGTCTCGAAGGAGACTGCGTTGGTACTTGCCCACTCCAGAAGATGATCCACTTCCTTCTGTACAGAAGCGGCCGACTCGGCAATGCTACGCCCGAATCCTAGCGAGGGATACATTGTCTCGGTCTATGGGTGGTTGTTTGGTTTTTCTGATTGGTCTGGTGTGTGGGCCTTCACGCACGGGTATTGGTCGCACATGAGCCTTGGCACCTTTTTTTTTTGCATCAGATGTTAATTGCTTATGCAGCTATTTTAGCTATGATACAATATCAAAGAAAATTACAGAATAGACGATTCATGGTAAAGCAAGAGTACTCATGCCTCGGATTTCATTTGCAAGTACCACAGCGAAGTTATGGCGGCTTTTTCTTCACCCCAAGTCGACCCTCATCCGTGAATACCCACTCAGGGGAACGTCTCAAAAACCCTGAGTTATCCAGACATGCCTCCATCATCATTCAACTTCTCTCCGCGCGAGATATGATCTAAGATGTCTCCTTCCCAAGTGGAGTAGGTGCCCAGGCTACTCAAACCATACCAGAGAACATCACCAGGAGGCGGACCACAACTCCTTCCATCGTTGGCTTGTGTTTAAAATGTCAGCTTCACTCTCGCAAGCGAAGTCTTGGCACGCACAAAGCTGAATTCGTAAAACACTTGCCAAAATCCGATATTTCACGCCCGTCGAAAACGTATCCCTCTTCTGCATCATCTTGAAAACTTGTCCTGATCCCTCTCACGTCTATCCCAAAGAACTTTCTTCCAGATTTGTGCTCCATGCTTTGCTTCCTCCGTCGGGTATAAATATTGGCGTGGGCGTGTATTTGGTGACCGGCTGAGGCCAGAGAAAGTCGACGAGAGGTGTGGTATTGAAACGAGGATTTACTAGGTCGTACTTGTAGACTTGATGACGCTTAGTTGAGAATCGGACTCTTTGGGAGTGAAAGATTGACGTGGTAGAGTAATTTGAAATTTTGCCTCTTGGGCCAACTTCTTTGATATTGCGAAATTTGACTGAACTTGGCCCTGGGAGAATATTTCACTCCCAGGTTCGTAAAGGACACCGCGTACAGGTGTTCAGTCTTGCCCTCCATATATATAATTCATTTTCCTGATTTGGCGCCTTGAGAGCCATGCAGGTTTTTATCGGAAGATATGTACTATAAGTTGGATGACTCCATTTGAAGATTAGAACACTCACACTCAGATTTCATTTGCAGATACCACTCGGGGTTAACCCTTACGGTGTATAACATCTTCCATGCATACCCACCACAGGGAAAAGCGTGAAAAACCTATGGCTATCCGAATGTGCTTACATGGTCCTACAAGCTCGATGAATCTGCATAAGGCAACGTGGCGGAGTGGTTATCGCGCTAGCCTAGAATCGCTCCTGCGACAGCTAGTTCCTTCGGGAGCGTCAGTTCGAGTCTGGCCGTTGTCGTTCACGATCGAGCCTCCATTGCTCCTAATATTTTGGGGAACTATTTACAACACCTGTCAGCGGTGCCCCCTACGAACCTCCAGCTCACACTGTGTAGTCTGCAAAGCCGAGATTGAGTATCAAAGCCCTCACTTCGATGAGGATTCCCAATCGCTTTCGCCGTCTGTATCGTCTCCATCTCTCAACACATTCCCATCTCACCATTATTATGAAGCTAACCACGATTAGATCAGATGGTAGGGTCGGAGCCCTACTCGTCATCAACCCTTGATCATGAAGGAGAAGCCATCCGATGAGTTTCCGGAGCGTACCCAGCACCCAATACGGAGATGGTGGATTGGAACAAGTCTGCCTCGACTGTTACAAAGAGGGGAGATATAGATGAATGTGCGCACCTCATGTGGTCCCGGTGTCTAGGCCTCGCTTGGCTGGGGCTGCAGGTTTTTTTAGACTTTTTCCCGCGCACGCAGTTTCCATTGTTACCAATTTTTTTTTTGCGCAGAAGGTTCCGTGGAGAAGGTGGCCGAATTCTACGGATAAACACCGAGCTGAATGGCTATTCATCAAGGGGAATATATCAATGATCATTCAAGTAACAAAAGGGGACAGGAGCACTGTACAAGGTTTGGCCTGGGTTAGAGAGGAGCCCAATGTGCTAGATAGTCATAGACTCAAGTAATAAAATAAAACACAGACATACAATGTCACCGGGAGAGAGAATGGAGTGTGGGTCTGACTGAATTCGAACCAGCTTTCTCCTGTCTCAAATGGGGTAGGTGTTCATGCTACCCAATTTCTACTTGGGATAACGATCTGTATGGTGTACTACTGCACCATCCAACCCGGCACCTGTACATAGGAATTAACTCAAAACGGCTTACATAAAGGGTCATGAGCCGAGTAATCGATCATTGTATATCTACTAGCAAATTCAATTTATGCTAACAGTAGTAATGTATCAAATTTTAATCCTTGCTAGAAAGCTGCGCAGATC